GCAAAGAACTGTCGAGTGCTGAAAACAGAAAGCAAAATGGAAACATGCTATTTCTCTACAAATGGTAAGGGCACTACATGATCAATTTCCAGAATGTTTATTTGGAAGCAGTGGGCTACTTTACCTGTAGAGGCTGGAATCACCTGTTTCAGTTAGCAGCTGACAAATAATAATATTGTAAATAAGTTAGATACATTAAAAACAACTGAATAAAACTGGAATTCCACTGCATTTATTTTCGAAACTAGAAATAGACAGTGGCACATCACTATAATCCCAATTAAGTAACTCAGGAGGCTGAGGGAAGAGGACTGCCAAGTTGAAGGCCATCCTGAGCAATAATTTAGCAAGACCCTAACTCAAAAAGGGTTGGGAATTTGGCTCATGGATTAAGCACACCTGAGTTCAATCTCCAGCACCAGAGGGTGGACAGTTGAGCTTGGGGTTTAGCTCAGCTGTAGAGCATTCACCCAGCCAGCATGTGCAAGGCCAGAGTTCAAACCCCAGCACAGCAAGAAAAAAAAAAAAGATCCAGCTGGGCACAATAGCCCACACCCAGCTACTTAAGAGGCTAAGGCAGAAAGATGGCAAATTTAAGTACAGGCTCGGCAACTTAGTGAGACCCTGTCTCAAAAATTTAAAGGGGCCTGGTTATGTAGCTCGGTGGTAGAACACCCCTGAGTTTGATACCAAATACCACATTAAAAAAATAAAGTAAGGCCAGGCATGGTGGCCTATAATCCTAGTGGCTTGGAAGGTGGAGACAGAAGGATCAAAGCCAGCCTCAGCAACATCCAGGCACTAAGCAACTCAGCAAGACACATTCTCTAAATAAAATACAAAATAGGGCTGGGGATGTAGCTCAGTGGTCGAGTGCCCCTGAGTTCAATCCCCAATCCCCACCCCAGTCCCCACAAAAATAAATAAATAATAAATTTTGAAATAGCAAAAAATTCACTAAAGAGCAGCAGGTCTCATTTGAGTTCCAGATACTTCTGGATAGTTAAGAGCAGAAAAGTAAAGCTCAGGTAAATATTAAACATGTTTACTATTTTATTTTCTCCAGAGACAGTCCTCTCCTGAGTAAAAAGAGGAGGGAAAGAGGGGAAACAGCATCAAAAAACAGCTGCGGTTATCTCTAGGAGTATAATTCGTCAAGGCTTCGTTCACATCCCATCCACGACCCCTAAAGAAATCAAATTAGAGACCTCTTTCTGACATTTATTCTGCTATTAAGTCACTCTTAATATTATTTTGCAAGATAAATCGGTCAACAATATTATTTCAATTCTAAGATCTTCCAATTTACAGAAAATGTCCTCACATGCATTAAGCGACCTTCTAAAATGGTGGGGGGGGGGATCATCCCTTGGGGAGGATAATTTTACTATTTTAAACAATTTAAAGATAAAATTATTCTGGAATTTAGCACTGAAATTTCTGCTTTAAACATGTAAACTGCGGGTACACATGTAAATTTAAGAAATATCTATATAGGTGCTAGCAACAAAGAGTTAACAGGGGTTATCTCTTCAGAGTGGGAGGATAGACAGGATGGGAGCAAGAGAGGGATCGAGTACTTCTGACTCTGCATAATTTTTCTAGCCACAAGTTCATGGATGTGCAGATGTGTTTTGTATGTATTTTATTGTTACAGTATTGTGGTTTGAACCCTGGGGCCATGTGCATGCTAGGCCAAGTGTTCTACCACTGGCCTATATTCCCCAGCCCTAGCTATTTATTTTTTTATGTTGTCCAGGCTGGCCTTTAAATCCTGGGCTCAAAAGATCCTTCCACCTCAGCCTCCTTAGTAACTGGGATTACAATTACAGACTTAAGCCACCACCCTGGATGTTTTTAAGTTTATTTATTATTATTCAAACACACACAAAAGTAGAAAGGACAGAATAAGGATCCAAGTGCACCAACGGTCCAACTTCAAAAATTCTCAACACTCTGGCTGGGTGTATTGGCACCCAATTGTAAACCCAGCTACTTGGGAGACGGAGGCAGGAGGATTACAAGTTCAAGGCCAGCCCAGGCAATTTAGCAAGACCCTGACTCAAAAAATAAAAAGGGCTAGGAATGTAGCTCAGGGACAGAGGGCCCCTGGATTCAAACCTCAGCAATCATATCCCTCCCAAATTTTTTTCCCACATCATTTCCTACCCTTTATAAAAACTAACCAATCTGTCTGAAACCATAAGACACTAAATGTCCAGGGACTTGGCCTCTGACTAAGTAGTCTCATCACTGCACATGAAGCAATCTACCTACAACAACTTCAGGCAGCAATAATCCGACTTAAAAAAGATGAGTTCCCAGAGTGAGTCAGGGTACTACATCCTATCCAGTGAAGGACAACTGGGCTGCTGGCTTCTTTCCATCACAGCCAGCAAAGAGGTCAAATTTCTTTCCAGCTTTTCAACCAGAGTCTCAGTTTCTGGTCCTATCCTGTGGCAAACTCCACTCTTTCCATCATTTACCTTTCAAAAGAACATGACCATGTTATTTCTCAATAACATGGAAAAGTAGAAAAACCCAAGAGATTAATATTTTACATGAGGCACAGAACACAGCAGGCAGAAGGGCACTATTTCAAAGCTGATTCCCACACAGGAACCTGAATTTTGTGAAGTTCTTTCTTAACTGATAAATCCCTGCTAGATGGAAAAGGAATCCATAATCCCAACATATAATAAGCAACCACATTCCATTCACATTCTTCCATAATGTTATTTCAAGATGTGACAAAGGTGGGTATTAAGTAAGTAAAGAAATATGCTAAAGTAAATTATCAATTTAAAAACGCCCAGTCCCAGATGAAATCAGATTGTCACTTTATCATACTAGCCAGGTTATACAGTTAGTAGCAGCTCTGGTAGCAGAAAATAACTGGATTAAAATCTTGCTTCTGCCACCTATTAGCTGGATAAAATACTGTCAATCTTCCTAATGTGACCTTCACCTCATAGAATAACCATGGGAATTAAAGAAGTACCTATATAAAAAGTGCTTGGCACACAGTAGGTAAGTTCATATCTTAAGCTATGTTTAACTACAACCCCAGAAGTGACCAGGTGGTGATATTTAGAACTTCCCTGGGAATAAACAAGCTTTGCCACTGATTCTATTTTTCTTGCATTTACAAGTCTATAAGTAATCAGATATACTCCTACATGGAACAATCAAGGCTTTTATATTTTAGTGGCTAAATTAGCATGTATCACATAGAAGAGGTGCACTAGAAGGTACCATCAAGGAAGATATAGGTCAAAAGACCATGCCTTTGGAAGACAAATATCTGTTAGCTGTTAGCAGAGAAAAATCATCAGCAAACTGAGGGGCTATTCATTTAAACTTTGTCATCACAATATCACCACTATAGGTAACTTGTGATATCCCCTCAAGGATTTACTCAATGTCTATTAAGCTCAGGATCATGTACGCAATAAATGTTTCATCATCAGGGAACAGAATAGTAGGCAACTCCTCCAGAGGATCCTCTCCTGTCTCTCTCACAGAGGGTAATAGAGATTTTAGTTCCCATTTTAAATGAGTGTAGAACATTTTCTTCCCATTTTTTTAAATGCCTTTGTTTATTTATTTATTTATTTTTATGTGGCACCGAGGATTAAACCCACTACTTCACACTTACTAGGCAAGCACTCTACCACTGAGCTATATATAACCCAGCCCTCTTCTCATTTCTTACAGGATATCTTGGCTTTTCTAACTTAAAAAAGACACCATAATATGTTAACTAATGAACTATAGTTTCCTTCCAACTCTCATTATTAAACTAAATAAGCAGCAAATCATGACACTGAGTTTCTTTGTTGGGGCAGTAGTGGGGATTGACCCCAGCATGCAAGACAAGCACTCTATCATTGAGCTACATTCCCAGCCCCACTTAACTGGGTTTTTTTGTTGTTGTTTTAATGAATATGTTATTAGCCAGGTGCAGTGGCACAAGCCCATAACCTCAGAGAGGTGGGAGGATCACAAGTTCAAGGCTAGCCCCAGCAACTTGGCAAGACCCTGTCTCAAAATAAAAAGAAATGGGGATGTAGCTCATTGGGGTAAAGCACTGCTGGCTTCAATCCCCAGTACTGGGGAAAAAAAAAAAAAAAAAAGTCATGTACTTTTTCAATACAACACTGAGTACTGAAACAAGATTAAATAAATGGAAGAAAAATACAAATTCTAGAAAATACACCCTGTAGCTGAGTGTGGTGGTACACACCTATAATGCCACAGACTCTGGAGGCTGATATAGAAGGATCACAAATTCAAAGCTAGCTTGGGCAACTAAGCAAGACCATCTCAAAGTTATTGGTTTTTTTAAAAAGGAGGTGGTGGCAGCTGGAGGTGTACCTTGGTAGTCAAGAATCAACTCAATACACAGTACCACAAAAGAAAATGTACTCTGTAAAACATCCTTGTAAGGTTAGATTTTCTTTTCTGGTGCTGGGAATCAAACCCAGGGTTCGTCATGCCAGGTAAACACTCCACAGCTGAGGTACACCTCCAGACCAAAGTTGGCTTTTCAAATTCGTAGAAAGAGAAAATATTAGTGACTATTTGATAGGCCTATCTAATCCTTATTACAGACATTATAAATAATTTGCTCAGATTGTATTCATTATAAAAGGACAAAAAGATAATAATAACAACAGAATACAGCAATAATAACAGAATAATCGCCAGACACTGTTCTTAGTGCTTTATAAATTCACAAACTGCTATTAGAAACACAGTATGTATTAGTACCCCCATTTTTTTTTCTCTAGCTGTTAACTCCAGACAGGATCCAAAGAGTTTTGCAATCTCTTCTCTGGGTGGTGGGGGTGTTATTTCTGGGTACTGGGGATTGAACTCATGGGCATTCGGCCACTGAGCCACATTCCCCAACCCTATTTTGTATTGAGATGCTAAGCACCTCACCATTGCTGAGGCTGGTTTTGAACTTGCGATTCTCCTGTTTCAGCCTCCCAAACCACTGGGATTACAGGCATATGCCCAGCTTCTTCTCTGGGTTTTATGGAGGTTTCCTTTACCCTCTGTGTTAGCCTCTTAAAGTACTGTGTCAACCTTAAGAAGGCACAGAAAAGGGCACAGTACTCCTATTTTAATAAGAGGAAACGATCCACATCTATTTCATCTCACTGCTTCATTAAGGCAACATAAAGGAGCTGTAGAAAATTAATAATAGCCAGGAAGATCACAAATTCAAAGTCAGCCTCAGCAATTTAGCAAGACCCTGACTCAAAATAAAAAAGGGCTGAGGACAAGACTCAGTGGTTAAGTGCCCCTGGGTACAATCCCCAATACCAAAATAATAACAACAAAGCACAGGTGAAAAAATAAACAGAAAAAAAATAAATAAAAATAAACAGAAGGTTAGAAAACATGGCCCAGGAAATCCCTCAGAAAATGGAACAAAAATGCAGAGGTGCAAACAGCAGGGGAAAAAGGATAAAATTATCGGATCAGTCCCAAAGACTCAGCATCCAAATAATAGACATAGGAGAAGAATAAAGAAAATGAAGAAGAGCCTGGCACAGTGGCACATGCCTGTAATCCCAGCAACTCAGGAGACTAAGGTGGGAGGATTGTAAAGTTCAAGGCCAGCCTCAGCATATTAGCAAGGGCCCTATACAACTTAGTAGATTCTTGTCTTAAAAATGAAAGAGGCTGGGGATGTAGCTCATTGGTAAAGCAACTCTGGGTTCAATCCCCAATACAAAAAAAAAAGAAGAAGAGGAGAAGGAAAACCTAAGACCTAATTTGAATCTATTGAGTGCATAGCCCACTAGATGAAAACAGCCACAACAAGAAGATCATTATAAAATTTCAGAACACTGGGACAAAGAGGTCTAAAGGTTTCAGGTTACATACAGGTTATCTCACCAATGGTGGAGGCCAAAAGACAACAGAATAGGATCTTCAAAATTTTCAAGGAAAATATTTCCAAATTTCAATTCTATACCTGATCAAATTAATAATCAATGTAAGGATAAAATGAAAGCTTTCAGATATGTAATGTCTAAAACATTTACCTCTCATGTTGTGCACCTTCTTCAGGAAGCTAACAGAAAAAGGTCAAGGTACTCTTCCAAAACCAACAGCTCAATCAAGGGGGAGAAAAATCTGAGATTGGACCCAGCCCAGGAGAGGGAGGGGATTCATCAGGATGATGTCAAGATCAGGACAGCTGCACTGTGCTGCTGCCTACAGCACATGTTCATATTAGGCGAAGCAGAAGGGATCTCCAAAAGAACAGAACGCACCAGGCAGCCAAAGTGCACACATGTCCTCAGGAAGATCTACACTGCTGGCCAGAGTATGGTAAGGAATTACTGATAAAAACACAGAAATAAAGCGCAACAACAAAAAAGGTTAATTATTAACAGAGAAAACAAATAGTTGTGCAAAAAAGGAAAAGTAATCACGGCATGCAACATGACTGGACTTTGAAAAAAACTGTATATAAACATAATATTATCGGTTAAGTATACTGCTCTAACCAAAAACACATTATAACTGGTATGAAAAAAATTTGCACATGCGAGATGGACATGGAAGCCTGACAAAAACCATCACACTAACCTGATTACTTAGAGAAGTAATACCAAAAGAAAGAGCAGAGGGATGGGTTGTGGCTCAGTGGTAGAGCGCTTGCCTAGCATGTGTGAAACACTTGGTTTAATCCCAGGAACCACATAAAAGTAGCTGATGGTCTGATATGACTAGGTATTATTTTATTTGCACATATATCAACAAAATTTTGGGGACTGGGGATATAGCTCAGTGGTGGAGCACTCACCTAGCATGCAAAAGGCCCTGAGTCTGACTCCCAGCACTGCAAAAAAAAAAAAGTTTTGTTTTGTTTTTTTAAGTACAGATAAACTGTAAAATGTTATTTATTCATTTTTGGTACTGGGAATCAAACTCAAGTGTTTTACCAATGAGCTACATCCCCAGTCTTTTTTTTTTTTTTTTTGAGATAGCATCTTGCTATATTGCTGAGGGCCTAACTGCTAAATGAACTTGCAATCCTCCTGCCTCCATCTCCCAACTTGCTAGGACTGGTACAGGCCATGTACCATTTTGCCCAGCTTAGAAGATGCTTTTTAAAGAAAATGTATTACATAAAGAAATCAAACATATACAACGATTTATGCACCACACTCATCCATGATAAGGGAAAACAAGGAAAAGGCTAATTATCTACCAAAAAGAGATGAGTTAAGACATTCTATGAAACATTCATTATGAAATGCCTTGAGCCACTAAAAAATCCAAAGGGAAAAAATCTGTTGTTTATTAAAACCATGTGACAAAAATTACAATTCCAGCCAGGGGTGGTGGCACATGCCTGTAATACTTAGGAGGCTGAGGCAGGAGGATTCCAAGTTCAGAGCCAGTCTCAGCAACTCAGCAATGGCCTCAGAAACTTAGCATGTTTCTGTCTCAAAATAACATGGGGGGGGGGCACCCTGGGAATATGGCTCAGTGGTTAAGACCCCCATATTTAATCCCTGACACCCCAAAGAAGAAAACCAAACAAAAAATTATAACTACAATTTTGATTAAACAAACACATTCAAGTAACATGCACATGAAAAAGACTGCTCACCAAAATATTTACATATATACACAAACATATGTATCTCTACACATATACACTTATTAAATCTGTAGATTTAATAAATGCTGCTTATGAACATAGAACTTCCATTAAGGAATCCCATCAACTTTCAACATATAACACTGGTTTTACAAATCAGTGAAGTTATTAGTTCTTTTTTTAAACTATTATCAATTTTATTAATCCATATATTCAAAGTATTTTCATTTTACTAACATTGTCAATACAAAATGACTAATTAGATATTTTAGTCTTTTTGCATATTCAATCTTCAAAAAATAGTGTTTTTTATACTCATAGCAATTTGAGCTACCCATTTTTTAAAAAAATTTGATATTATCCGTTCTTTTCAGTCACCACACATTTACCTTATTAGAAGAATGACTTGACATGCACTAGATCCAAACACTTTCTCCAAAGAACACTGGCAGCACTACTGGCTTCTCCGATTTACAAAGTCAGGATGCAATCCTGGAATAAGAGAAATAAGTGATAAAATGGTTACCCATTTTTTCCATACCTTGCAGATTAGATTCCATTACTAGTGACTGAAATCCATAAGCAAAAACTCCAGCCCTCGATTTTATTTCCAATGGACACCAGGATTCTCTGGCAAAATGTACTGGTCTGATGGTCTGCCTCTGGTCAACTGTCTAACGCATATCTTCATCCATTCAACCTCCTACAGCATGGAAAGCTAAAACTGTCATTCTTGTAACCTAACACTTCTACTGGCAATATCAGGTGCTAGGGTTTGCATTATGCAAGACTAGTTTGCAAGCTTCATAATTCAACCCGGTGAACTTTGAAACAAGAAAAAAATTGAACTGAGATATGCAAAACTAAATTAACAAAAACATGTCAAGTTAAAATACCCCCTATCTCCATCCCTAAAGGCACATGCACAAAAAACCTTTCTATTCCAGTTGTCTAAATATTCCTAGATCTATGGGGGTGGGGTTCTGGCTCAGTCGTAGAGTGCTCGCCTAGCATGTGTGAGACACTGGATTTGATCCCAGCACTACATACAAATAAAGATATTGTGTCCACCTACAATTAAAAATAAATATTTAAAAAAATTTAAAACATAATATTCCTAGATCTATGAACACAGTCATAAATTAAAGCTAGATAGAATATTACCCACAACACATAGGATAACCAAGTTCTAAAACCAGAAAACTCATAATGTCCTCACTCCTGCTTGTTACTGAAGTGTTACTGTTCATGAAGATGCAGTCTCGATATTTATCTTCCTTTCTGCATTTATTCAGCATTCACTCTGTCAAGATGGGACACGCTGGGTAACCACCTCAGCTTTCTCTGGACTCTATAACTTGAATCCTTGCCCATTTAGTCAGGAAGGAAAATCTCTCCTAAAACTATGGATCCAAACTCTTTGCACCCATAGAATCCTCAAACTACAATGTCTCCTACCCTTTCATCAAATGCTCAAACATTCCTTTGAGGGTCTCCTTCCCCAAAAGATGTCCCTGGCTCTCCTAGGCAGGTTAGGTACTGTGACACCCTAGGCAGATCTCTCATTACACCCATTTCATGATCTGTTGTTAAATGTCAATTTCCTCACTGGACTATAAACTAGTTTTTGTGATTTTTTTTTTAAGTTTGTAGATGACACAATACCTTTATTTATTTATTCTATGTGGTGCTGAGGATCAAACCCAGTGCCTCACATATGCTAGGCAAGCACTTTACCACTGAGCTACAACCCTAGCCCAGCACACAGTACTTATAAGACAAACTGCTGTGGCACATTCTGGCTGCTAAATGAAGAATAAATTTTAAAGGACAAGGGCAGAAAAAAATCAGTAGACATTGCCTAAAATAATTCAGGTAAAGGACAGCAATGCCTTAGACCACAGCATAGCTCAAAATACTCCTAGCATTCCACACACTACTAGAACATAATTCCTAAATCCAAACAAAGGGTAAATGCTAATATTTTCAGACCACACAATCGTATCTCTATTGTAAACAACAGCAATTTTTTTTTTCTTACCTCACTTCAGGCTCCCTTGGCAACCAGAGAAACAAAGATAAGGAAACACAAGGATAACCTTGCCCTCTCCTCTGACCCCTAACGTCAAAGCTAGTCCTCTAAACCATGAGGCACATGTTTAAATAATATTTGAGGGCTAATGTTGTTCTGGCTTCAAAAGCATAACCATAGCAACGAAAGTAAATAAAAGGGGCTGGAGTTGTGGCTCAGTGGTAGAGTGCTTGCCTAGCATGCAAAAGGCACTGGGTTTGATCCTCAGCACCACATAAATGTAAAATAAATAAAAAAAATAGGTTGTGTCCACCTAAAACTTAAGAATTAATATTTTTTTAAAAAAGGTAAATAAAAGGGCTAGGGATATAGCGGGAGGTTTGCAAGTTCAAAAGCAGTCTCAGCAACTTAGACAGACCCTGTCTCAAAATTAAAACGGCTA